GGATCTACATGAGTCGCGTTGATTAGGTTTGGAACCATTTGGGTCAATTCTTAAAAAAAAAAAAAAAAAAAAAAAAACAGAAGAAAAAAGTGAAGATATTATTGTGGTCCTTCCTACACAGAATCACTCGCAAAACACAAAAACCCTCGTTTTGCATATGATTTTTCATCTTCTCTTCTCTAAGACAGGGAACCCTCTCTGCCTTAACCCCCTCCTCTGCCGCCCAGCGACGCTGCTACTTTTTTGACTGATGGTAACTCTTTCTCTATACCACATTGCCTATTTGGTCTCTTGTAGCTTAACCTCGATGCATTTTTGTGGTGTGTTTGGTTGTTTAACTTGTGTTTGGTAAGCTGGAAACGAACTGACTTGAACTTTCACAATTTGCATTTCGTAATGTGTTATGCTTGTTCGAGCTGATTACCCTTTGAGATTTGTTTTGAGTGTGACATTTTCCCCCCAAATTGCTTTAGGTTACTCACTTTCTTTCTGTCTTGCACGTCGATTTGTCAAATAGGTTGGAATAGTTCTGGATATATTTTTCAATTTGTTAAAATGTCGTTCGGAAAATTAAGGGTGATGTCAATTTCGTTTTTCATTATTATCTTTTATTTCTAGTGTTTTGTTTAAGTTGATTATGTTCTTCCAAGCCGATTCTCAGTTTTGTTGTTTGCTACCCACTCATAGTGTGTGGGGTGCCCTACTAACCCGAGTAGCTAAGGCGTGCTTAATGTGACCTCACACACCAAATGGTGGTGAACAGATTCAAACACAATACCCACTTAGCTTAGGCTCCATCACCAATAAATCATTTTAACGCCCTACTTGGCTACAAGCCCACGATCCTAGGCTCGGCTAAGCTACTCATTTCTTTATAATTTTTTAATTTTCAATGCTTCTGTTAATTTTAAGAGTTCTATGATTTTGGTTTTGTTTCTTTCGAGTGTTTTCACTGACTTAGTTGTGTTGCAGTTGTACATTTCATGTTGTGTGCTTCTATGCTGCTGTTGATTTAATTGTTCTGTTAACTGTATTTTTTATTTCGTATGCTTCTGTTAACTATATTTTCTGTGTCACCTGTAATGTTCCTATCACTATTGTTGGTTTACACTTTTACTTTATTTCATATGTTTTTAATTGTAATTTGTTTTAATCAAGTTTTGTTTTGAACTGTTAAATTAATAGTGTTGTTAATTGTAATTCTATGGTTGCAGACTTACCTGTTGAGTTACTGTAAGGCTCTTGAACTAGGGAGTTTTACTTGCAGTTTCTGGCTACTAGTAAGTTTTTTCTCTTCCACTTTTGATTACAATGTGTGTGAGTTCAATTTTGGATCACAGTCCTATGGAAACTCTGATATCTGTTCAAGTGGAACCACATCGGTTTCACTTCATCTGCAATGGGGGTGGTTAGAAGTGTACCTAACGACTATGCATGTAACCCTAATCATTTTAAATATGGTTACCATACAGTGTTCTAGTAAATGGAGCTGAGAATTTGTTCGTGGAGGGTTTTGAGGTGGGGGTGTGTGGATTGTCAAGGTGTGGGAGGCTGAAGCCTCATACGTGTGCTAAAGATGAAAATTTGGACTGATGGACTACAAATTTTACTTGAGAAAGTTTTGTTTTCTGTCGGCTTGCCTGGAATATAGCTTGAATTAGTTAACTTGTGGAGTCCTGGAGAAGGCAAAAAAGAGAAGATGTAACTATTAACGCTAGTAATGTCATCATTGCAGGGTCTAGTGAAGAAGCGTGTATAATAGAGGAAGAAGGGTTTTTAGACTTTTTTTAGTGTGCTCTGTCTTAAGTTAGATCCGCCATATAGCATATCAAATTGTTTAGATGGGAAATGATTAGAGTGCGTAAACTGTGAATGAGTCTGCAAGACTGCAAATGATATTCAATCATATGAAGAGGAAGTTGAGGAACTGAAATGCATATCTGCTAGTAAGGCGTTACACTTACCTTCTTGTGATCTGTTAGCTTAATTGGAACTTAGGGTAGATATGTGTGACAATTGGACGACTATTCAGTGAGATATGCAGTATCCTTCTCATAAGGCTACCAAATTTTAAAGCGTTTCAAAACTCAAAAAGTTGTTCAGCGGTTGGAAGAGAATGCACATTTTCTGAAATTTGTGAATAAGATCATGCACTAGTTTTTTGTTTGTGTTTTGTTCTTGTAAAGTTTTGTAAATTTGGAGGCTACTGACCGTTTTGTGATTTGCTATTGTGTTTTACTGTTTTGTCGCAATCAGCTTGCCAGTTTATTTTCATTTTGCTGTTGTTTTTTATTTTTAGTTACTCCTGTTTTGTTGAAATTGGAAGACACTCGACAACCAATGACAAGGGGAAAATCGTTCACGCTGGATCAAGATGTGGCTGTTTGTAATGCTCGGTTAAGTGTCTCTCAGGATCCGCTCAATGTTGTTTCGCAACCTAAATGTATTTCCTGGGATCAAGTATACCAAAAATATGTTGAGATAACCGGTGATCAAAATGAGCGATCGCGATGTTCTGTCCAGTCTAGATGGAAAATAATTCTTGGAAGTTGCAATCAGTTTCATGAATGTCTTACCAAAATAGAAGAAAAACAAAGTGGATTGACGGAATCTAACAAGGTGAGAATCTGTACCTTCCTTCACCTTCGTTCTTTTCCTTAGTAATAATTTTCCCAAAGTAGCTAACTTCTTAAAATCATGTTTAGGTTCTTCAAGCAAATATATTGTACTTGAAGCTTGAGAAGAAACGTTTTGCGTTCAATCATTGCTGGGAAATTTTGCAACATAACATCAAATGGAAAGGTTTGACACCGGCAAAGAGGTCTGATATTGATACTATGGTTGCAGACTGGTATGATCCTCCTATTGTGGCTGCAAACCTGAACATCACTTCCTCACCGATGAGGTCTGGTACTCGTACTATGGCTACAGACCCAAATGTTGATTCCTCACCCAAGAGGTCCGATCCTCCTACTATTGCTGCAAACTTGAACATCAATTCCTCACCGAAGAGGTCTGATCCTCATTCTATAGCTACAAACCCGAAGAACAATTCCTCATACTCCTTACAATCAAAGGAGACTCTCGTCTCACAGGACACTGACAAAGATCCATATTATACAGCTGAATTTCTTAAAAGGAAACGATCCAGAAGAGCAGAAAAAGAAGCATACAAGAGAAGCAAGGTAGTAGAAACTCTGGATTCTCGTTTATGTGACGTGATGGAGAAGCTTACCAAACAATTGGCCGAAGCAGATGACAGAAAGGCGAAAATTGCAGAAAGAAAGGTAAAGGTGATGGAGGAAGCGAATGAAAGGGAGCAAAGAGAGCATGATGACCGAATTATGAGTATGGACACCACCAACATGGAGCCACGCGCAAGAGCTTACTACGAGCAGCGAAAGAATGATGTTTATTTCAAAACTATGGCACACAGTAAAAACTCCTCCAATATGGATCTTCACACAATAGCTCACTACGATCATAGCGATATTTATGCGAAAATGATGGCACGCGATTCATAATATGAACGTTGTTCTTATGAATCATGTTCTCCGTGACGATGTATCTTGAACTATGAAAGAATCGTGTTAGCTATTTTGCTGAGCATTTTTGTCTTACGAGTGTTGATAAGTTTTACTTTTTTCTTCGCTTGCCAACTTATTCAGCAACATCATTCACGAGAACAGAGCATCATTAGTGGCCGGGGGGCCTCGGCGGATATCTTCCATCCGGCAGCCTTTTTAGTTGAACCCCTGCCATCCCTTACTTCACGCTGAGATCTTAATCCTCTTGGTGTTTGTGTTGTTTTCTTGTCATTCTGACGAATCGATGATGCTTCCATGTTAGATTTCACCAGCATTTGAGGCTTACGAGTCTATGAGTAGTTTTCATTGAAGCGCTTGTGTGATCTAAAGTGGAAAATGAAAATAATACCTTGCTGAAACTAGAAGTGGAACACATTTTCAACATGGGACTCGCTTATTTTAGTTTACTTATTTTGATACAATGATATATTTACACGAATGAGAAATAAATTGGTATCGAATTTGTCATTCACGAGATTTAAACTCAAGACTTTTCACTTTTTATTTTCTTTTGTGTTAGTATACGAATACAATGTCACAAATAAGAATGGTATGTATATTTTGTGTTCCTATTCTTGATAAGTAATGCCATAAGTATTCACTCGAAATACCTCCTAAGTATGGACTAGTCTTGGACACTGAGCCCGTTTGGTGGCCGGGTGGTACAGACTATGATCAATTAAAATGGACTCAAATCTCAAGCCGTTGTTTGATGCTGTTACAACGTATCATGCACAGGATTTCTATTTTGGACGCAAGTCCAAAATAGCACAAGATTCGTAACCCATCACTTGCCATGGTTACTAGTCCCTCTCTCTCTCTCCGTCGTACAACTGGGGGTGGGTCTTCGCGACTGTCATGGTCGCATCGTTGGATATTCGGGAGCAGGGTAATTGAACCGCCGTGAGCGACGTCTTTGGGGTGGGGGTGGGTCATCACAAGCGCCGTGGTCGAGTCGCCAGATCTTCAGGAGCTGCGGCGGCAGCATCGAGAGTATAAGAGCTCTTAGATAACTTTGAAAAATAAAAGTAAAAATCAAGAGGTGGAACGTAAGAGCAAATTTCAAAAGGGCAGTTGGTTGCATAGAGAGGAGCAGCTTCTTGATCAGCTTCGACTGCAAACACCACAATTTTCATAGAACGAGTACACCATCACAGTGGCCTCCATGCCAATGATGCAACGCTGCAGTGTACCCATGCCATGTAACTCTATCTCCAACTCCAATTGATGACGAGCTAGATGAAGTTGTATGAGACTCCTTTGGCTACCATGGACTTAAAATAAATAATTCGACTATTTCGTTATGTTATAGCGAGGTTAACAGTTAGCTGGTTTATGTGCATTCGCAAATAACAACTTGGTGTAGTGAAATTTGGTCCAACAACAGTTCGATAGCAGCAACATCAAATCAAAATCAGAACGACAAAAACAACTTCATAAAAAGTACGACAATTGAAGTAAGAAAATCATAATGCAGAAGTTCCTGATAATATAGAATTTATATCAAAACTCTGAATCTCTAATGAAAGAACGTTCAACAAAATCATCCACATCCTCGTATTGATCAAAAGCTGAAGATGGACTTACATGACCCGCACAAATCTTACTCATCTGTCATAACCACTCAAAACCCGTCTAATTATTCAAAGCTCATCCTCCATCCTCAAGTACTCTCCAATATCAGTCTGGTGAAGCACCACAATTCCATTGGGGTCCAACTTCCTACAATCTTGAGTAGACTTGGCAGCAATCCCGAAACCCAAAGGCACATCTGACATTGAAAACACAACCACCCCATCACCCGGCACAATATTCTCTGTAATCCTCCCCAAACCACCTTTCAAAACATGGTTTCCGTACAAGAATGACATCTCGGAGGTAGGTTTGAGCCAGACCTTGTGTTTAGCATTTGATGCCAATAAACTCAGACATTGAACAGTTAAATGGAACTTGCCACCATGAGTGAACCTACCGATACAGGTGCCAAGGGAGACTAACTGAGTCCGAGCTATATTTGTAGCACGCTTTACTAGTGACTCGCTAACATAGTAAACTTTGTTCTTGTGGAGGCGAAAACAGTAACGACCTGAACCAGGGTCTGGGCCTTCATGAGAAGGGTTCTCAACAATGTTTTTGAGGTTGTTGCCTGTAAACTTGAACAGCTTTTCAAACACCGTCGTGGTCTCAGTCTCGTCTAAAGGTCTCATCTTTGTCCGTGTTAAGTCTCCTAAGGTTCTGTACTGCTGATAATTCCTAGACACAGCACCATTCATTAATATTTAAACACTTTTCAAGAGGCACACAACCACTGGAGCATGGCTTCCCAGAACAATCACAGAATATTTCAGTCAATCGTTGTCATATTTATTTGGTAGAAACTTAATCACTCATGAATTGTATGCTTGATATACTCTTTGACAAAAAATATGCAAACCGTTGAGTTACATCAGTTAAACAAAAGCAAAAGGCACAAAAAGATGAACAGCTCCAGAACCACCATCCAAGCACAATACAAACCACAAAATGTTATAGTAAAGCCAATATGAACTTATTTCATAAGGCACCATAACTATCCAAAACTGTGAGGAAAGCATATTTGATCAGTTTCTAAATACTGAGGTATTCAAACAAAAAACTACTCAAGTTAACTCAAGAAAGGGGAAAAGGGGGAATTTCAAAACACAGATTGCCAATTTTCCACCGTCTAAAGTTTTAAAGAGTTGGACTTGTTATTCTCAGAAAAGAAAAGTCAGACGAGAAAACTACTAGTTAGTTGTAATGGTAATAGAACAAAGAAAACATAACTGAACTAAGTCCAAGCTTTATGAAAATCTATACAATAACTGTTGAGCACTGAAATCCAAAGGCTCTGAGACCTTGTTAGACGTACATCCACAAAAACCCCAGAAGCTCAAGTTGTTTGAAAAATTGACCAACAATGTATATTAAGCAAAACACTAATAAAGATTGAACCAACGGCTTAACTTAAGTACTATTTAGAATAACGTCAGCAATGAAGTGAATTCGAATTCAAAGCTCCAAATGACAACAAGAAACATAAGTATCTGAGCTAGGGTAAAGTGAAACTTTACGACAAGTTCAAAACCCCATAACTAACACCGAAAACCGTCACAGCCGACCCCGAAAATGCAAGTGGAAACTCACCAAGTTGAAGAACAAATCAGAAACACAAATAAAACCAATTCAAACGCTCAAACAGGAATCAGAAATTCAAACAGCAAGCCATAACTCAAAGATGACATAAATTTAGGCAGAATAATAATTTCGAAAACCAAGTTAATGAATTAATCCTATATAGTAAACCAACAAACAGAAACAAAAGCAAACAAGTTATGCATCTCTTTGAAATGAACTTTAACCCCAGCGAATAAAATAGAATGGAACTGTATTGCCTATAATTCTGAATCATTCAAAAGTTCCATGTCATTTGAATATTATCATTCAACAAATCCCCTTCCCACCTCTGTATTCTTACCATTCAACTTCACATGAAAAATATCTATTGTCCATATGATCCACGTTTTAAATAACCAAATATTTATCACCCTTTCTTTGACACATTTATATGTTATTACGAGGTTTATATGAAAACATTAAGCTTTTGAAAAACTAAAACAAATATAAAAAAGGAGTGGATATCTTTATGCATTTGCACATATGTATATATCAAAACTACACTGCACATGAACGTAAATATCAAAGCCACAGTAGTACTACCACAAATCAGTGTTTACTAACTTCAACACTCGAACATGTTTTGTATTCCATGCCATCTTAGCCTACTTATTTACTGATTAACTTCTACATGCCTACATTCAGTGGCCTTCTAGAACTACATTTCCGTGGCAGTTCCTAACCAAAACTGACATTCTAATGTTTAACTTTCAAGAAAAAATAATTACTAAAACATAAAAAACAAAAACTAGACTAAACAGATCATACTGGATTACATACACCATTGAAAGAAAAATTTGTATTGTAATTCAAGAATGTGGACATCATCATATAGCTTTAAGTTACTGTAAGCTTCCTCTCCCACAATTCTGAATCATTCAAAAGTTCCATGTCATTTGAATATTATCATTCAACAAGAAAATTTCTTTAAAAGTTATTTTCATTCCTATACTCCATCAGTCTTTCTGCTCCTCATCCAACAGAATCGACCCCCTTATCAACATAATATCATTTTCCTTTACTTCTCATCTCATTGTTTTACAAAAATATTTTCAGCTTCTCGTCAAACAGTCTACTTCTAGTCCCCTTCTATGCTATATTTTTACTCTTAGAAATCCCCTTCCTACCTCTGTATTCTTACCATCCAACTTCACAGTATGAAAAATATATATTCTTACCATTTCAATCAGATTCTTCTAATTGACAATAATAGTAAGCATTACTATCATAGGAACAACAAAAACCACTAAAAATCAAAGAAAATCGCAAAACCCGTGAAAATTGAAAAACTGCAGAAACCCACGAAATTGAAAATAAAATCTGCAAAACCCATGAAATTGAAAAGAAAATCTGTAGAACATGAGACTAACCTTGCAAAGGAAGTCGTGGGTCAAGACTAGAAACGGCGAGAGGAAGTCACGGGTCACGGGTCACGGGGGTGAGAGACTGAGAGTGAGACGGGTCGCAAGTCGCTGGGAAGGAGGAAGACGAAGACTGATTGTGTCGAGAGCGGGTGCGCGGAGCGGCGGAGGCTGTGAAGGAGAGGGTCCAGAGTACAGGCAGAGGGATCAGGGATGAGGGATCGATGTTTAGTAGGCCTTAGGGTTTCAGACTGAACGACGTCGACCAATACCAATACAAACTCTCAGACTGAACGAAACGCCGTATCTAGTAATAAATATTAAACGACGTCGTTTTGACATACTTCGGTTTGGTTCCTTTCGATTCGATTTAACAGTTTTGGTTTTGTTTTTTCGATTCGATTTTTTCAACATCGGTTCAGTTGGTTAGAAGCAAGGTCTAAAATATTTACGATATCGGAAATATCGGCAGTTTAAAAATACGAAAACTTCGACAGAAATATCGAAATATTATCGATATAGATAAAAATTGAATAAAAACCATGAAAATTGTAAGAAAAACTTAGAAATTTTTATTGAAACTTTGCAGGATGTTTATTTAATCAATTATCTATTAATTTATCACAAAAAATTGGAAGGAAATGCAATGCATGATGGATTTAACTGATTTAAGTTGATTATATAGTGAGCTGATAAACATTATGAGTGTAGAAAATATGTAGTAATTAATGAAAGAAGTTTAAACACACTATAATCATTTATATATAATGAATTAGTACAATATTTTACACTTTATACATTGCATGGTAAGATACATGAGTGACTTAATATCACATAAAGTTCCTATCAATGTCTAAAATATCGATGATATCGGTAGTCCAAAAATACGGAAATTTCGATGAAAATATCGGGATAATATCGATATTTTAGATCTTGATTAGACGAAGCGACTAAGTTAAGATCACGTGTATTAGAGTGTAACAAAAGTACGTAATACATATGGGCCATGTGGCATTGTGACATTCAGATTAGAATAGATGATGGGAAAGCCCACAACTGAACCATGAAGTGGGGCAGAAATAGATAGCCCACTGAGAGAGGGTGTAATTTTTTTATTTTTATTTATACTAGATGTTTTATATGCTAAGCGGATGAGAGCTCATTTACAAGTGAATAAGAATATTATTAGACTGTAGTATGTTTTTGCATTTTAAAGGCTTAATAATTTATTTTTATCGAATGCTTTTACTCTAAGTGGTGGAGGATTTAGCCTAAGTGAGACAATGGGCAAGCCATAATAGTTTATTATTGGACTCGCTATTCAAGAGTCGAAACTAAGACTTTTCATTTATAAATAGAAAGGCATATGACTAGAGCGTACAACTAAGTGAGACATTTCCATTAATTTAATTATTAATTTTGATACAATTTTATTGGTTATCACTTTTTAGTTTAATGTTTCATCCGACATGTTCATATCAACCTTTCCTATTATATGTGTTTGAAATTGTTAACAAATGTTAGGTTTGTGATTTTCGCATCTCCAACTAAGGAGTTAAATCGCAAGTGGCTCTTTACCATAGCGGTGAAAAAGAGTTGAGCGCTTTCACGACGGTGTGGGTTCGAATCTGTAGGTGGCTAATCTAACATCTAATTTGACAAAATCTACTATTTGACCCCAAAAAAATGAGGAGTTAAATCTATAGTAGAATGTCACGCAGCAAAATTTAAAGGTAGAATGAAACTCCACGAGAGATTGTCAACCTCTTTCTCAAGACACCAACCATGTCACCAATTTTCTTATATTATCCTTGGAGTAAATTAATATGGGAAATTTTTTAAAATGTCATATGAACTTATACATTTTTTTTCAATTTGTCATATGAACTAAAATTTTAAGCAATTTGTTATGTCAATTATCTGAAATCATTAGCTTTTCATCTAGCATCCGTTAGTTTTTCATAAAAATAAATCATGTACAACACACATAACTTGTGTTTAGGGTTACTCACAAATTTTATATTTTAGTTTTTATTCTTATACATAGATATATTACACATGGGGTAGGGGAATAAATCAGTTTAAGACTTTTGACCTCCTTTTTACAAGTTCTCTGCTTTTCTTTAGTACGAACCAAAAACTTTTGGTTGGTAAAAAGAACATGTCAGGTTCATTTCAAAAACTTATTGTCAACAACATTAGGCTCACTAACATGAATTTTAACTAATTGCAAGCTTTGAGAATTCAATGCTGGCATTTGTGTCTATAAAAAACAAAGGAGTTGACATGTCCAAAATAACATTGAAATTCTCGAAATAATCTTGAATGTAAGTGGGGAATTGAAATGTCTAAAATAACCTTGAATAATTCATGTGCAAGCCATATGGCTTATTTTGATGCAAAATGTAATGGAGTTAGAGTGAGATGACAAATTAATGATTTTAGAAAATTGATATGACAAATTGCTTAAAATTTTAGTTCATATGACAAATTTAAAAATGGTGTTTAAGTTCATATGACACTTCAAAAAATTCCCTAAACAATATTTACATAATAAAGATGAAACGACAATTATACTAATTTAAATTCTTCCAACTTTTCCCCAACCCTTCTCTCTTTCACGTTTTTCTTCCATATAAAAAAACAAAAGAAATGAAATAATTATCCTTATTACTTATTACAACGGTTTTGCGATATTCTTCTTCACTTGAAGTCATTGTTCTAGCTCCGCCTAGGCGATAGGTGGCTGGTCACGTCCCCAATTAATCTCTAGGCCTTTGAAAATTAAGAAAGTGTGCGTAGACCCCCTTAGGCGGGCGCCTAACAAGCCGTCTAGGTCTCGACTCTCACGTAAACAAAAAATTGATAACTTTCATCCGACACATTAAAATTTTAATTTAATTAATTTAATTGTTAATTTGACACAATTACCGGTTATCACTTTTTAGTTTTATGTTTCATCCGATACATTTATATCAGCCTTTCCTATTAGGGAAATTGTATTTGAACTCCATATTTTGTATTTCAACACCCAACTTATTTTTTTATACCTACATTGTATTTGATTTATCTATCATTATCTCTTTACACCCATCGTTATTTCTGAAACCGCCATTACTTATCAAAACTCAACTCAATCAAACTTCTGTTTACACCCAACTCAATCTGCTTAAAAATAAAAAATAAAACCCTAACCAGTCCATCATCTCCATGGAGAAAAGCCCATTTTCTCTCTCTTTAAAAAATCCTTCCATCTCCTATGGTTGCCATTCTGCACCCCCATCTACTCCTCCGTAGTCATCCAATTCTCTTCCTCTTCATTTTCTTCATCATTTGACATCTCTAAATTTCTAGAGCACTAATTAGCTTAATAATTGGTGTGTATACATTTTATTGGTTCAATTTTTACGCATTGATTCCTTTTTCTTTTCAATTAAATGAGCTTATGGTTAAAGTGTTTAATGACTTTGGTATGTTTCAATTAAATGAGAATCTTCTAGACTCTATATTCCTATATGTGGTAGAAAAATGGGTATGTCCATGATAATTTTTGGTAAATCAATGAATATTTTTAACCGTGGATATTTATTTATTTATTTTTTTGTCGAAAGTGTGGATATTTATTAGATACAAAAGTTGTGGACAACAATTCACATTACCTGTGGCTAAAAAGTATATCACCTTTGCAAGTTTTAAAGGCGAACTCATAGTTAAGCAGTTTTTATTGTGGAGCAAAACTTCAGGAATTGATCTAACCTGGATGTGTAATTGAGTTTGTGCATTTTACTGATAAACTAATAAATATTTCAACCACATATGAATTTAATATCATAGTATCTTTCAGCCTCTATATGCCACAAAAGTTGCGGACAAAAATTCACAATACATAGAATTGTGGTAAAAAAGTATATCGCCTTTGCACGTTTTATAGGTGAACTCATAGGTAAGCAGTTTTTATTGTTGACCAAAGCTTCGGGAATTGATCTAACTTGAATGTATAATTGAGCTCATGCATTTTAATGATTAAATTCATAAATATCTCGATCGTATATGAATTTAATATCGTAGTATTTTTTAGCCTTTATATTGGTATCTGTGGCAAAAAAATGGGTACCTCCATGAGAAAATTTTGTAGATCGATGAATATTTTCAATCTGAATATTTAGTAGATACCAGAAATTATAAGTCTATTTGTGAAAGTTTGGAGTGCCAAATGAGATTTTAGGAGTGCTAATAATAATTTTCTATATTTGTATACATTTTATTTTAGTTTGGAAGTCAACTTCCTTTTTTTAATTTCTTTATCAAGTTGGAAGTATCACTGACTGTGATCCTGTGCAACTAGTTGTTGATTCGTTTTGAATAATCAACATTATTTCTTATAATGTCTTGAGCGTATGAATAACAGAAAGAAAACAGTCATGATACAAGCTGAATAAGAGTAGTACTAATTAGTAAACAACTTGTGCATGATGTTAGCTTATAACTAAATGGCATGAAGGGACAAATGTGTATGTTCCATGCATGACTTGGAATAGTATTAGTAAAGTCACATAGGCCAATCATCTTGTTGGAAAGTGGCCCTTTACCACAGTGGTGAAAAAGTGTTGTGCTCTTGCATGACGGCATGGGTTCGAATTCTATCGGTGACATCTAACTTACTAATGCTATTGCTCGAGTAAAAAAAAAACAATCGAAATGTATGTAGTGGATGAACACAATCTGAATATTTAATTAAACTCATATAACAACGATAAATAAAGGCAGTATCACAACTTAGGGGTGGTGAGCAATCCCATTAAAATAGAACTTAATATATACATATTAAAAAAAAAACCAAATTGATGCAAAATCAACCGATGACTAATACTATTCCAAGTCATGTATGAAACATACACATTTGTCCCTTCATGCCACTTGGTTATAAGCAAACATCATGCACAAGTTGCTTACTAATTAGTATTCCAAGTCATGGATGAAACTTACACATTTGTCCCTTCATGCCACTTGGTTATAAGCAAACATCATGCACAAATTGCTTACTAATTAGTATTACTACTATTCAGCTTGTATCATGACCGTTTTCTTTCTGTTATTCATACGCCCAAGACATTATAAGAAATAATGTTGATTATTCAAAACGAATCAACAACTAGTTGCACAAGGTCACAGTCAGTGATACTCCAAACTTGGTAAAGAAAGAAAAAAAAAAGGAAGTCGACTTCCAAACAAAAATAAAATATGTATAAATATAGAAAATTGTTATTAGTACTCCAAA